CTTAAAGAGATGGGAGTACCAGACAACCTCACATGTCTCTTGAGAAACCTGTATGAGGGTCAAGAAGCGACAGTTAGAACCAGATATGGAACAACTGATTGGTTTAGCATAGGAAAAGGAGTACGACAAGGATGTATATTGTCACCTTGCTTATTTAATACATATGCAGAGTACATCATGCAAAATGCTGGCCTGGATGAATCACAAGTGGGAATTAAGATTGCTGGAGAAAAGATCAACAACCTTAGATATGCAGACGATACCACTCTGATGGCAGAAGTGAAGAGAACCTAAAGAGCCTCTTGCTCAGGATGAAAGGGGAGAGCGCAAAAGTGGGCTTGAAGCTCAACATAAAAAAACCCTAAAATCATGGCATCTGGCCCCATCACTCCATGGCAAATAGAAGGGGAGGTCGTGGAAGTAGTGACAGACTTCACGTTCCTGGGATCCCAGATCACCACAGACTGTGACAGCAGCCATGAAATTAAAAGATGCCTGCTCCTTGGGAGGAAAGCGATGGCAAACCTAAACAGCATGATAAAAAGTAGAGACATCACCCTGCCAACAAAAGTCCGCATGGTCAAAGCAATGGTATTCCCAGTAGTCATGTATGGCTGCGAGAGTTGGACTATAAGGAAGGCCGAGCGCCGAAGAATAGATTCTTTTGAACTATGGTGCTGGAGAAGACTCTTGAGAGTCCCTTGGACTGCAAGAAGATCACTTGCAAAATCCCAGCACCGATACATATGGTAATTCAGAATGCCAAAATCTACAGAGAAATTCAGAAGAGAATTTGGAAAAAAACAAACCCACACATATTGATAATGGGGGTTCATTGTGTGCCTGTGCCCCTGTTGGGAAAAAGAGAGATTCTACCAGGAAAAAGCATCCGCCAGTATTTTGGGTTTTTTCAAAAAGGGAACAGTGGGTATGTGTGGTTGGGCAGAGCAGCCAACTCCTATGGGGCAAGTACTGAAAAATCAACTGGGGGCAGCTAAACTGATGGGGAGCAGTGTTCCCTCTAAGCTGAGTTAGTGTGAGCTAGCTCACAGTTTTTTAGCCTCCGGCTCACACATTTTTGTCTTAGCTCAGGAAGGATGGGGCTCCAGAACACACTAATTTATGCAGTAGCCAAATCACCTGCTCACAACTTTAATGCCGGTAGCTCACAAAGTAGAATTTTTGCTCTCAGGACTCTACAGCTTAGAGGGAACATTGGTGGGGAGTGAAAACAAAGAGGGCCCTGGGTAGCTTGGGGCTAGGGTTGCCACCACCCCCGGTCACGGTGGAGGGTTTTCCCCAATTTCAGGATACTGGCCTTTACTGTAAACCTGTATTCAAGGGAGGGGGGGGGTCAGGTCTCCCGCTATAGTGGAAGACCTACCAGACATTTCTCCCAGCACTTCACAGACTGGGGAGAAGGGTGAAAATATGGGGGCACATCGCCATCCTGTCACTTTCAGCACCAAATTAGAAGTGATGTCATCACCCCGGGGGCAACACTCTGGGATTTGCACATAAAGGTTTTGGCAAGCTCCCGGAGCAACCCCCAGAGCAATTGGGGGGGGGGCGCACCCATCGTCACTTCCCAGTTGTCCCCCAAGGGTTAGGCAGCAGTGGCTGGCTACCCTGCTTCAGGGTGGCACAAATATTATTTCGGATCATGACGACGCAGGGGAGGAAATTTCTCCACCTCGTGCAACCGATCTGTTGCAACGATCTCGTCAGGAAAAAACAAAGCTGTACTCCGTCGGGTTAAGAAGATAACAAGGGCCCTGCTGGATCGGGTCAGAAGTCATAATATTTCTCACAGCGGCCATCCCCTGGGGTTGAATGTCCTTCATCCCCTGGGGTTGCCAGCTCCATGTTGGGAAATTCCTGGAGATTTGAGGGATACCGCCTGGGAAGGGTGAGGTTTGGGGAAGAAAGGGACCTCGGCAGGGTATAATGCCATAGAGTCCAGCTGCCCAGTGCCCAGGCAGCCATTTTGTCCAGGATAGCTGATCTGTGTGGTCTGGAGATCAGTTGTACTTCCAAGTAGTCTCCAGGCCTCCCCTGGGGATTTCCTTCAGGAGTTGATAAGTAGGGATTGATAAGAACTGGGGTTGCTACACACTCAGATAATGCAAATATTGTGAAACGAATTCTTCATTGCACAGTATTCGTTAGCATGTGAGCGATAACAGAAGGAAATTTTCTACAGAAATGACTACAGTAAACATTTTTGCAACTTATCTTTATTGACTCTTCGTTATTTTTGTCACGGATGTTGTTTTTGGAATTCCACTCACCTGGGGATTGGCATCCCCAGGGTGAAGACCTGTGGAACTGAGATGGAAGGGCCCTTGTTTTGTTCTCTTCGTTGCTGTTCACCTGCTTGATCGACTCTTCCTGTCTGACGACCTGCTTTGTGTTCTTGTTTAGTGGCGAAAGCGGAGCCGGGAAGACGGTGGCTGCCAAGTACATCATGGGCTACATTTCCAAAGTATCCGGGGGTGGAGAGAAAGTGCAGGTGGGTGTTCTTGGTGGGCGGGTATCTTTTCTCGACTTCTCCCCTGCCCACCTCAACCCCACTTCCCTCCCCCTCCCAAGTCTTTACTTCC